GATAAACTCAGACCTCATTTTTAGATATCTCCTTGTACCTTGTAATTGGTTTTGACTCGATTGAAGTCTATAGTATGTGAGACCTCTCTCTCTCTCAGAGCCGATGTCGTGAACTGGCTCTGGCAGGGAACTAACCTTAGTAGGCGTGCTTATCATTTTATGAAAGAAATTAGGAGGTACATCCTCCCACCTAATAGTCAATTTAAAACGTACATATTTTAATAAAGGAGTCCCTTGTATTGAGGGTAGTTAAAAATGAGATTCGAGTTCTTAAATATTTTTTAACCTTCAAGTATCAACATTTTGTCTTAATTTCCTGTTATGCTACAAATTTGTTAGAAAAACAAAATTTTTGTGGATTTGTAGAGGAAAAACTTCCCCATAAATTAGTAGAAAATATAGAAAATAAAGTGGATAAAATAAATTATTGTCATCTTGGAAAGAAGATTGTTGATCTTTGTCCGGAGATTAATGAAAAGTATGTAAACTTATTTTAATTTTTCCTATTTTAATTTTTTTGAGAAAATTACTAGCCCTTAATGACATTTATGTAGTAATACTGCCATTATCAAAGAAAAATTATTTTTTAATATTTGTACTCTTGATGGGGTAACTATTGTAAAGCATATAGCTATTAATTTCCTAAGGCTGTGCAGTAGGCGGCGTGGTGTAATGGCTAACACATCAGTCCGTCTACTGAAGATGCTGGTTCGCTCCCAGCCGCCGAATAACCTTTTGCACTAGCTAAAGGAGAGAAATAGCTATAGCCCAGCTGCTTTACTCTATTAAGGAGGTACGGTAAGAAATTTTGTGAAGGAAAGAAATTGGGTCAGTGTTCGATAAATGCGATTTTCGGTGGCGGTAATTGAGATTTTTAATAATAAAAAATTAGGTATAACAAGTAACACAGTCAGATATATAGCTCCGGACAAAAAACCACTACCCATCCGTCTTTAAATTAAAGATCATTTCAAAATTTTAAAAAATAATCGGCACAAATTACTTTAATTTACCGTGGTAACAGTACGTTTATACGGTGTCAACTTATCAAACTTTTTTGTCAACCTCAAATATTAATATTTTCTGTATTTGTAGAAATATAAAAATTTATTTTATTTATTTATCAGAATGCAATTTTGCTCTACATGGATAATTGGGATTGAACTTTTAAGCAAAGAGAATAATAATATTGATGAGAGTGATATTGATGGGAAATTTGGCGAATTAATTGAAGAATTAAAATTAACGGATCAGTATAAAATTGGGATAAACGAATTGAAGTTTACATCGCTGAGCCTTTCTAAGAAAAATTAATTAAAAATAATCATTCTTTGTGATATTTTCTGAAATTTTTAAAGTGATTTTTAATTTCAAAAATAGATTAAAATTATTAAAAGTATGGCACATTTTCTCTTGTCAAAGTAGAGTTGAGCTATATGTGGATTCAGATCAGTATAGGTACTTTGGATTGATGATTTCGATATCAGAAAAATCGGTAATGGGGTTCAACGATCGTGATTAAATATTCGGTATTGGTATTTATAAAAAATTTTATAAATAAAAATTTATTCACTGACAAACAGAGCTGGGTCGGTATTCCGATTTCCGGCATTTTTTCCTTCCGATTTCCAATTTCCGAAATTTTGGAAAAATTTCAAATTTTGGAAAAAATTTCATATTTCCGTTAATTTTCAAAGCATATTTTCGACTAACGATTTTTCTAAAATTTTCAAAATTTTCGCCTGCGGCACTGAAAAATAGAAATCATCTTTCCCATCTGAAAAATCATCTTTCCCATCTAATTCTGATCATATATATAGCCCAATGGAGATAGACAAATCTGTCAAATAATTTTGATCTTTCTACATTAGATACTGAAGAAATAATGCTAGTTTTTTATGCTTGTTCGTTACATGATTAAAATAGAGGTCGGCAAAATCGCATTTGCGGGATCCCGCGGGATAAAATTTTTTTAAAAATCTTTGCGGGACGGGATCCCGCGGGATAAATCCCGCACTCCCGCAAATTGAAAAAGTGCGGGATTGCGGGACGGGATCCCGCAAAATCCCGCGCGGGATCCCGTCCCGCGCCGACCTCTAGATTAAAATGCGGAAAAAAGTTAAACATTTAAATAAAGATTAGAAAAATATCAACGATCAAAACTCATTATAAATATCACTCGGAGCTGAAAACTTCTCCTATTTTGAAAGACTAGTATTATTATAGAAGAGCAGCTCCTTCCCATGGCCAGACAAATTTAAAAACGTATCCTAAGCTGTGAGTGTTATTTAATATGAAGGTGGCAGGGGTGTCCAAAAGTGATTTTAAAAAGCGAAGAAAGGACGAAAGTTTAGTTAAAAAGTGAAAGGCTAAAGTAAAAAGAGTCTAGAGGGATATCAAGGAAAACTAATCCTTGTAAAATTAGTTTCATTTATTCCTCCTCGTCATATTCTTCTTCCTCTTCGTCCGATTCTAAAGTAGCATTTTCAATGTAATTGCTAACCTGTAAATAATTATTTAAACGTAAAACAAAAATAATTTAACTAAAATATTACTCAAATTTTTACAAATCTCTTATAATAATAAACTCAAATAAATTTTTTAATAAGTATCGTGTGCCGATTTTTTCTATCTTTATGATATACAAAAATTATTAAATTTTCAGTTGCATAAGGAAAATTCCATCTCTCTAGGATTGTCGGTTCCTAGCAGGGATGTCACGGGTTACCCGAAACCCGATACCCTAAACCCGAAACCCGGCCTTTTTTCCGACCCGATACCCGAAACCCGATCCGAGAAAATTTCTAAAACCCGACCCGAAACCCGACCCGAGAATTTTTATTTTTCAAAACCCGACCCGAGTTTTCTCAAAATTTTCGCCCGCGTCGCAGAAAAAGGGAAGATTTTTAGCTTAATGATCTTCCAAAATTCTGAAAATTTTCGCCTGCAGCGCTGAAAAAGGAAGAAATCTGGCTTCGGACCTTCAAGAATTCTCAAAATTTTCGCCTGCGGCACTGAGAAGGGAAGATTTTTGGCTTTTTGGCCTTCTAAAATTCTCAAAATTTTGGCTTTTTTTTCGACCCGAAACCCGAAACCCGATCCGAAGAAAATTTTGAAAATCCGATCCGAAACCCGATCCGACTTTTTGCTCAACCCGAAACCCGATCCGAGAAAAATTTTGGAAACCCGACCCGAAACCCGACCCGACATTTTTCTCAACCCGTGACATCCCTGGTTCCTAGGAAAACCGAAAAGAAAATTTCGATAACTGGACTTCTTAGGTCCGAATATCCGGAACAACCAATCAAATTCCCCTTGTTAGTATTCGTCTCCCCATTTTTCACAATTAAAAAACAGAAATTTTAAAAACTTACAAAACTATAAAATGGACGTATTTGAGGTGGAAATTTCTTAAACTCTTGTGTTTCCATATTAATTAAAGTTTGATTATACCCAATACTTCCAAATATCGCAATTATGTTTGGAATAATAACTTGTTGCTGGATTAATGCTTGGAGGTTTTCATCTAAAGAAAAGAAGATTCCGTACAAATGTGTATGGTAACTGATAACAGTTTTTATAAAATCATATTCATGCTTCGTTAATTTGTTTTCGACTTCTTAAAATTTATTTAATTAAGAAACTTTTTATATTATTATCAGATATGGCTTGGAATTCCGAGTTCCAACGTTTGGGCCAGTTCCGATTTCCGACACCTCTGACTGTTCCGACCCACCTCTGATTATTATCAGTGCCGGATATAATGCAAAGATAGTCTGGGCAGTGGCCACAAAACGCCCACAATTCCCAGTACTGATTATTAGTAAATTAATTCATAAAATTTTATTTTACTTGTAAATGTAAATATAACGTTCATAAATGGTCGAATATTCGTTTGGTATATAAATGACGGGTTGTAAGATTGTCTCAGATGTTCTTCAATCATACTTAAGGAGTCCAAAAGAAGTGCACGTACTGAAATACAATTTATGGTAATCTGATCTGATCAAGGTTATGAATGTGATAGGGATATATTTGATATTCTCTAGTTAACATTCATAAAGTACCTTGATAATGCCCAGGTGTATAAGAAACTCGATAGTTAGATATATAAGAGTATATCTGTAGGTGGCGTAATGTGAAGTGTAAAAGATGATTGGCGGTAACCTCAAATTCGTCATAGGCATAAAAATATTGGTACTCTTGTGTTATCTCCCCCCATTTTTTATGCCCCCCTTTTTCTTCTCTTTCCTTCCTTTCTCATTGCCGCTTAAAATTAAAAAATGGTCAAAGGCAAATAATGGTCAAAGGCAATCACTAAATTTATTTAAAAAGACATTCAATCTGAGAAAGGAGTCATTTTTGAATTTTTATTAAATTTGTTTTCGAAAAATGAATATCTTCAAACTTCCTCAAAATGAAGAAGATGCGATTCAATTTTTACAGGGTAAAAACATTCTACCAAAAAACAAAATTTGTCTAAATGGACATGAAATGAAGTTAAGCATTGGCAAGCAAGTTAGATGGAGATGCCGCAAATCTAATTGTCGTTGTGAAGTAAATATGCGTGTCGGAAATTGGTTAGAAGGTAGTCGTTTACCATATGTTACAATAGTACGCTTCCTCTACTGCTGGTCGTTTGAATACACTTCCGGAAATTTTTGTCAGCGAGAATTGGGAATTGATCCAACAAACACAACAGTTGATTGGAATAACTACCTAAGGTGTATTTGTGTAGATCACCTCATAGCCAAACCACACAAATTCATCGGTATTTTTATAATGTTTAAAAATATAGCTGTTTTTAGGAGGTGATGGGATGATTGTAGAGATAGACGAAAGTCTCTTCACAAAAAGGAAAAACAATTCAGGCAGAGTCCTACCGCAACAATGGATCTTTGGAGGCTTATGCAGAGAATCTGATGAATGTTTTTTGGTTCAGGTTAATCTTCTTATAATAGATTAGACAAATTTCATGGTATTTATAGGTTCCAGATCGATCAGCAAAGACGTTGATGGCAGAGATTGAGAAGCACATAAGTCCTGGGACGTTGATTATTTCTGACAGCTGGAAAGGATACAAACATGACGAACTTGTTGAGGCTGGTTTTTCGCACTTCACGGTTAATCACCGCTACAACTTTGTTGACCCAAAAACTGCAGCTAACACGCAAAAAATCGAACGTCTTTGGGGATCTGCGAAATGGAGGAATAAAAAACATCGGGGAACATCGCGGCATCACTTGGAAAGTTACTTGGCAGAATTCATGTGTAGACAAGAAGCTAAAGGGGAAAATTTTTTTGAATGGATTTGTAAGAAAATTGCGGAATTTTGGCCTCCAGAATAATGTTTTTGTCATTTTTTTTGTTTTTATAAATTTATTGCCTTTGACCATTATTTGCCTTTGACCATTTTTTAATTTTAAGCGGCAATGAGAAAGGAAGGAAAGAGAAGAAAAAGGGGGGCATAAAAAATGGGGGGAGATAACACAAGAGTACCAAAATATTCAATAATTGAAAGTTGGTTTCTAAAATATTGAAATGCATTTTTAATTTATTTTAGTTAGCGAGCACTAGAACAACACCATTTTGAACTTTCGTGAGTAAGGTTATAAACTTATGGACAGATAGCGACTGGGAGTTTTGGAAAGAGTTTCTGGCGGGGGTTCTGACTTCTAGGAATTAGATCCGTCCTGATCACGTCAAAATTTCAGATTCGGATCAGTTTCTCAGATTTTTGTTTCTTGTGAAACACTACAATGTATGTAGCAGGTAAAACATAGTGAGGTTTACTAAGCCTTCTTTTAAATTCTAATAATCAGCCTTTTTAACAAAAAATTACCCTGAATTTGTATATAAATTTATATAATATTGTGAGTGATTTGTTATAAATAATTTTATAAGAATTCTTGTTAAAGCCAACAAATTATAGAAAATTAAAAGATTCTTTTCGAGTTGTGTAGGTTCTAACAGATTTTGTAAAATATTATTTTGTTCTTGTTCGCTGAAATTTTATTTTTTGGAAAATTTAAAAAATAATTTCTAAAAAAACCTTTTAGAATGTAAAGATGTTTGACGGGGGAAATTTCCACGATTAATTAAATTTCTATCTATTTCAATGCCATATTGACTTAAAAACCCAATATAATTACGGGTTTCCATAAATTGACCAAAATCAACAAGTCGGCTATAAATATATCCCATTTTCTTTTCCGGATCAGAAAGTTCAACTCTTACATTATTCATATACTGTCCAATAACAATATTCTCAACGTGTCTAATAGCCTTAAAATTAATGTTATTTCTAGAGATTTCAAAAACATGTTAAACGGGAACTATTGTAAAACGATGTTCATACCGTGGAAAAATTCCTTGGATGGAAGATGAAATTGAAACATCATGGAATGAGCCCAGACCGAAGCACAACAGACTGTGCCACCATCCAACCCGATTTTGGGTTATTTATTTTCATTTATATTCTTTCTGCAAGTGGGGACATAACAGGAACATGTCTCTTTCGCCCAATCCACCCTTACTACGTGAAAATGTTTAGGAAATATAGTGATAAAATAGACAATATTTGATTTGTTTCTAAGAAAATATTTACAAATAAATTACAAAAAAATTCTTCCGCATATTTTTTAAACTAACTTTATTTATTTTTGACACAGAAAGTGAAATATTTTGATTATTAATCAACTCTGGAGAATTAATTTCATTAAGAACACGTACTCCCATATTTAAAATAATATTCTCCATTGTTGAATTGTTCAATTCTTCTATTTTAATATTTTTTAAAATATTAATGAGAAGGGACAAGTCGACAAGATTGAATTCTTTAAAGTTGGGAGGTTCTAGAAGAGGATTTCGGCCAGTTCGCATACCTCCTATTTTTATTTTTAAATTTTAATATAAAATTTTATTATAAGGAAGTGATTTCGAGCTGGTTAACATTTAAAATGTTTGCTAGAGTCTATTAAAAATAAAGGAGCTTAGTCCCGTCTAGCTCAGTCGGTAGTGCACCTTTACGTGTTGAGCGAAGGGGTCTCAATTAGGAATTGAAAAAATCAAATTTCAAATTAAATAATTGGTTCAAACTATAATTTTATTTATTCGATCTACTTTCAAAAAGTCTTTGCCTTCTAATCCAAACTTTAAAGAATAAATAATTAATTTTTTACTTGATGGGGGTTGCATTCCCTTAACCACATTTTGAGACAGATTTTGGTTAAAAATAAATAAAAGAGTTGTTATAACGATTGGAAATAACATTTTAGTTAAAATTTCTTCAAAAATATCAGAAAATTAACTAAAGAGAACTCTACAATCTCTTATTTTTGGGGTCTTTTTGCTGATTTTTTTTTGTTTTGTTAATTTTTTTATGGAAATTTAGATTCTGACAAAAAAAATTTTATTCTAAAAATAATTAAGAAAAATTAATTTTAGAAGTATTTTATTATAAAAAAATTGTTTTCTCAGGGTGAATCCTAAAAGTTAGCCCTCCCCTAAAATAATAAGTAAAAGAGATTTAACTCGGAATTAGCCGATTTTCGGGAGTTGGATCTAAATAATATTAAAGTTTCTCCTTCTTTTTTTCTAAAAAATGGCATTTTACAAATGAAATATAGGGAGATTTATTTTTAATTTGAAGGGAGGGGAATTTTAAATTTTTATATGTAAAGGAGAGAGAGAATTTTTTATAGTGAAGTCAAGCAATTTTGAGGTTATTAATTTTTAAAAAAATAGAAAGGAATAAGAAAATGAAGACAATGGGGGGAGAGGGGGGATAGGGGGGGGGAGGGAGAGGAGGGGAGGGAGGTGGGATATTGAAAATTTTTGCAAGGAGAGGAATTTTTAATGGAAGCAAAATTTTTGTTGAGGTGGATTTTTTGTTGTCAATCAATAACAATAAAAAAAAATTTTTTAAACATAAAAAATAAAAAATTTTAAAGAAAATTCTAAAAGATTCAAACTTAGGCGGGTGTTTAAGACCTACAAAAAATAACTTAAAGCATGTGATAGAATATTATCGGTAAATTTTTTATATTATAGTTTTAAATTTTCCTATACAAAAAAGCGAGATTTGGGCTGATAATTTATTTTTACGAAAAAGTTTTTAGGGTAGGGGAATTAATTGGATTTTAAAATTTCGTGACAATCAAAATGCAATTCATTAATTGACTAATTATTATACTAAATTAGTCAAATATACTTTTAATTTTAATTTAAAAATTTTAAATTATATTCACTTTTTTAATTTAAAACACGCAACTTGTATTATCCTTATCTAAATTTTGTTAGTTAGAATATTTTTTAAATTTATTCTACTTTTAAACGCATTTACGGTCAATTTATTCAGTTTAATATTTACTGGAAATGTTTCACCTACCGAAATATTTTTTCAGAAAAATATAATTATTGTTTAAGACAAAAATTTAAAACATGCATACGGGGTCGAAAATATTTTTTCTTAATATCCATAATTATGTTTGCTCAAATTTTTGTAGATTTTTACTAGTGTTAGAAATACAAAAATCCAAAGTGTGCTTATTCTTTTAAACAGGTCAAAATTCACAAAATTTTGAATTTTTTCAATCTATTTGAATAATTTCAAAAACTTTTAATATTATATTGTTTCTAATTTAATTTTATATTTTTTTGATAATACTCGGACGAACCAATCCCAAGTTAGGTAATATTTTCAAGTGGGCAACATTTTATAATTAAAAATTTAATTAATTAAAAAATTTTTTTTTAAATGTCAAAATTTTAATAAAAAAATGTTAAAAATATAACTAAAAAGTTTATCAAAAGTTTTAATAAAAAATTAGAGATAAATCAAATAAATTTTTGAATATATGAGGGGGAAATATTAAAAATAAGAAGCTAATCTATCTAGGTATCTATCTAGGTATCGTCTTAGTTTAATTCCTGACTAAAGATTTTCAATTGTTAGACTGAATCGATGAATCGAGCGTGTTTTGAAATTATGCTCAACCCCCCCCCCCCCCCCCCACCCCAAAAAAAAAGAAGTTTTAAAGAAACCCCAAACAATCCAAATCTAAATAATTAAATATGAGGAAGTTAAACATTCAAATAACAGGTATGAAAATATCAACAGTCAAAACACACAATTAGATATCACTCACTCAATGGGGATAATTAGGGATCGGCTTTTTAAGTCTTAACTTTTTTCATGAAATTATCATGGCGTGGGACACCGTGACTTTGACTGGCCATAACTCTGCCCAAAACCATTTTGCAGAAATAAAGGAACTCACTTCGCATAGCGAGTCGAGGGTCCCCTATCGAATGATACCAAAAAATACAACTTTTCTGTACACAGTAGACAATGTTCCCTTATCAGTGGTAATGTTACCGAATTTCAGCTCATTCCATCTTTACGTTGATATCTAATACTAGTGAGTACCAAAATATCTAATACCAAAATAGGCTAGAGTTCACCTTAGCAACACACTGAAAGCCATGTTTTTCTAATGTAAAAATGTGGAAAGTATGAAAAAAAGTACTCAAAATGGTGCTCCCGTACATTTTTACCGGATTTTCAGACCCCTAAAAATTTTGCATATTCGAATTTTTGACTCCAAAAATCAGCCTGGTCCTCACTATAGTTTTCGATTTTCAGGGGTTTGAAAATCCGGAAAAAATTTTGAGTAATTTTATAGTGTTTTTTGAACTCAGTCAGCGCATTTTATTACACTAGAAAAGCGTGTTTTTTGTTGTGTTGCTAAGGTGAACTCTTACTCCAAAATATCTAATATCTAATACCAAAATATCTAATACCAAAATTTTCTTTTAAAATTAGCTTCATTCAATCCTCATCGTCATATTCTTCTTCGTTTTCATCCAATTCTAAATTAGCATTTTCAATGCAATTGTTGACCTTTAAATGAAAATCTAAGCTCAAAATAAAAGATTTTTGTTTAACTAAATTAAATTAGAATGTTCACAAAACGGAATCCGATAAAATTCAATTTCGTTCCCCTCCCCCTCCTTTTTCCATCCTCAAAGTATTAAAAAATGGTCAGTCTGGCTTAAGTTATATATCGGATAGATCCGGACTCTAAACTTACAAAATCAACAAATGGACGATGTTGAGGTGGAAATCTTTTTCCATCTTGTGTTTCCATATAAATTAATGTTTGGTTATACCCAATACTTCCAAATATCGCAATCACGTTTGGAATAATAACTTGTTGTTGGATTAATGTTTGGAGGTTTTCATCTAAAGAAAAGTAGATTCCATACAAATCTTGATAGTAGACCATAACAGCTTTTATATAATTATATCCATGTTCTGATAATTTATTTTCAACTTCTTAAATTTTTATTTTATTTAGGAACATTTTTAAGCTAAGCTTTTTAAGCTAAAGTATCCTGACATTTTTCAATGTTAAAACCACGAAAAAACAATTGGCCCCGGTTTCTTTCAAAATTCAAAAATTTTTTTAATTTATTTGTAAAATAATTTTATTTTACTTGTAAATGTAAACATAATGTTCATATATGGTCGAAAATTCGTTTCATATATAAATGACGGGTTGTACGATTGTCTCAAATGGCCTTCAATCATACTTAAAGAATCCACAAGAAGTGCACGATCTGAAATAAAATTTTTATATTTAAATATAAATTATTAAAAACGGACTCAATATTAGAGTTTCACCGGAAGTTCCGGTTCCGGAAAGTTCCGGTGTTTTTTTGGTTCCGGTTCCGGTTCCGGGAACCGGAACTCAAATTGGATCCGGTTCCGGCTCCGGTTTACAAATTGGTTCCGGCCAAACCGGAACTTTTTTACACCCCTAAGGATTGGTTTTTTTAAAAAATATGTGTTAGCCTTACAATATTTTCCCCGGTTGGCCTTCCAAAATTCTCAAAATTTTCGCCTGCGGCGCAAGAAGGGAAGAAATCTAGCTCATTATCCACACAAATTCTCAAAATTTTCGCCTGCGGCGCTGTAAAAAGAAATTGGATGTTATAACGGAGGATTCGGATGGATGAAGGTGGATTTTGAGTTACATTATGTGATTTCAAAGAGTCATGGGTAATAATGTATAAAGAGATCTGGGTGTGATGTGACGGATTGAGCTGTGCAGATAGATAGGGATTGGATAGCTGGGGATTTGGCCTTCCAAAACTTGGAATTTCTCACTTGGCCTTCCTAAATTCATAAAAATTTTCACCTGCGGCACTAAAAAGTAAGGAAAAATATGGTATTATTGAGA